TGTTCAGGCTCTGTAAAAACTGAATTAATTTCCAAAAAGTGAGGATTGTATGTATGCCGTGGGGTATGTGGGGGTGTAGGTGTGTGACGTGTGTGTGATACGTGTTTGGTGTGCTGGATGTACTGTGTATTATGTGTGTGGTGTGTGTGTGCATTGTTTGTGGTGTGGGTGTGTAGTTTGTGTATTGTGTGTGGTGTCTGTGTATTGTATGTGTATGTGTGTGGTATGTGTGTGATGTGTTTGTGGTGTGTGTGGTGCTGTGTGTGTAATGTGTGTGAGGTTCATGTGTGTGTCGTGTGTGTCTGTAGTGTGTGTGGGGTGTGTGTGTGCAGTGTGTGGTGTCTGTGTGTGGGATGTGTGTGTGCACATGGTGCGTGTGCAGTGGGTGTGGGGTGTGTGTGCGTGTGCACATGGTATGTGTGCAGTGTGTGGTGTCTGTGGGGTGTGTGTCTGCACATGGTGTGTGTGCAGTGTGTGTGGTGTCTGTGTGGGGTGTGTGTGTGCACATGGTGTGTGTGCAGTGGGTGTGTGGTGTGTGTGGTGTGTGTGCAGTGTGTGGAGGGTGTGTGCATGTGCACATGGTGTGTGTGCAGTGTGTGTGTGTGTGTGGTGTGTGTGCGTGTGCACATGGTGTGGTGTGTGCTGTTTGGTGTCTGGGGTTTGTGTGCGTGTGCACACAGTGTGGTGTGTGTGGGGTGTGTGTGCGTGTGCACATGGTGTAGTGTGTGCAGTATGTGTGTCATGAGTGACTGCTTCTCTTAGCATGTGGACATCAGTCTTCCAGACCAGCTTTCTCCATGTGTCTGGGAACATAAGAAACAAATTTCTGCAATAATTGTTACACAGTTTTTCCAGAGAGGGACCCAACCTCTGCCGTGAGTGGGTATCTGCATTGCAGGAGGGATTGTGAGGTCCCGGCTTGGCTCACACCCTCTGTGGGTTTAGGCAGGGTCCAGGGTTTGGAGCCTTTCTTGGCTCAGGTTCCTGCTGGATCCCTCCCTGTGGCCAGAGAGGGAGGGCTCTGTTTCACCACAAGGCACCAGAAGAGGACTGGTGTGCGAGAAGACTAGGTAATCGTAATGGTATTAGTAATAGCAGTAATCATACTGTTTTATACATTGTATATGTCATAAGGATTTTAACTTTTATGTAACATAATTGTAAAAATGTCCCCAGTTGTTTGTCTTGTGTTTTTTACATAGTGTTCAAATGTGTAAGAACTTTACATTTTAGGCAGTTTCATTTATTACTCCAATAATACCACCAATGGGATAATTATTCTTGATTTGTAGGTTCAAAGTGTTACCCCATTACTACACAAAATTACACAAAATTTCTGTGTTTTTAATTCTCTTTCTTTTATATGTCTATTTTTGTGCCATATCAAAAGTTTAATTTTGAAAAGTTATAATGACCTTAAATATCTTACAGATTTATTTTGTAATATTTGCTCTCAGTGTGTGTTTGTTCGTCAGATGAATTTGAAATCACATTTTCTTGTTCCAAAATATTCTTCAGGGAATTTGTATTGAAATGTGAGCATATTTTAAAATAATTTACAGCAAATTAGTGAGTTAATATTATTGAGTCCTGTCATCCAGAAGGTGACGAGCAAATTCCTCAAACCTCCTTTAATGCCATTTAGTGAAAATTAATATGTTAAATCAATATAAGTTAGCATAAATGAATATAGCTAATAATTACATTATGTGTTTGGCTCCTCTTTTCTGTCTTCTGCCTTCTGTCACTGATGTTTTATTCCTGTGTTTGTTGTTTTCTACATTTTGTTTTATTATGTCTTTGTCTCTGTCTTGTGATTTGGAAAGTATATGGCATATTGTAATTTTTAATTTTTTAATGTTTTTTAGTTTTAATAAATAAACTTTATTTTTTAGAGAAGTGCAGGTTCACAGCTAAACAGAACAGAGAGTACAGACTTCCCCTGTGTCCCCTTCCCCACACACAGCCTCCCCACGACAGCTTCCTGCCTCACACAGCGCACCTGTGACAACCAGGACCTACCTGGACCCTTCATTATCGCTCAAAGCTTACAGAGCACATTCACGTTTACTCTTCACGTTGTACGTTCTGAATCTTGACAAAAGTATAACGGCAATGGGATATTACTCACTGCTAACAGGAGATGATATATCAAGCCACAAAAAAATACAAGGAGGAAACTTGAATGCGTGTTGCTAGGAGAAGAAGCCAATCCGGAAAGGCTACATACTGTTCGATTCCAATTATATGACATTCTGGAAACGGTGAAACTATGGGAACAGTACAAAGATCAGTGGTTGCCATGAACCAAGGGGAAGGAAGAGATGGATACACAGAGCACCGAGAATCTTTACAGCAGTAAAACCATTCTGTGTGATACTATTATGGTAGATATATACATTTGTAAAAATATATTTTAACTTTTAAAGTATATTTTTGTTTTAAAAACTACAGATAACCTGGGTGTGGTGGCTCATGCCTGTAATCTCAGCACTTTGGGAGGCCAAGGTGGGAGAATTGCTTGCGCCCTGGAGTTTAAGACCAGCCTGGGCAACAGTGAAACCCCATCTCTACAAATAAAAATTAGCCAGGTGCAGTATTGCATGCCTGTAGTCCCAGATACTCAGGAGGCTGTGATGGGAGGATCACTTGGCCCCAGGAATTCGAGACTGCAGTGAGTTATGATTATGCCACTGCACTCTAGCCTTGGTGACAGAGTGAGACCTCATCTCAAAACGTAAAACAACAAAAAACCTACAAGCACACCTCAGAAGTATTGTGGACTTGGTTCCAGACCACTGCAAGAAGACAAATGTTGCAATGAAGTTAGTCATGCAATTTTTTTGGTTTTCCAGTGCATATAAAGGTTATGTTTAAACTATACTGTAGTCTAATGAGTATGTTAATAGCCTTATGTCTAAAAACTGTATGTGCATACCTTAATTAAAAACACTTTATTGCTAAAAAAAAAAAAATACTAACAAATGTCTGAGCCTTGAACAGGTCATAATCTTTTTCTTGGTGGGGATATTACCTCTGTATTGATGGCTGCTGACCGCTCAGGGTAGGGGCTGCTAAAGGTTGGGTGCCTGTGGCAATTTCTTAAAATAAGACAATGAGGTTTGTTGCATTGATACCCTGTTCCTTTCACAAAAGATTTGCCTGTAGCATGTGATGCTGTTTGATCGCATTTCATCCACAGTAGAACTTCCTTCAAAACTGGAGTCAGCCCTCTCAAACCCTGCAGCTGCTTTATCAACCAGGTTTATGGAATATCCTAAATCCTTCACTGTCATTTCAGCAATGTTCATAGCATCTCCACCTGGAGCAGATTCCATCTCCAGAAAATACTTTCTTTCCTTACCCATAAGAAGCAACTCCCCATTTGTTCAAGTATCATCATGAGTTTACAGCAATTTCATCTCATCATAAGGCTCTAATTCTAGTTGACTTGCGATTTTTACCGCATCTGCTGGAACTTCCTCCACTGACATCCTGAGCCCTCAAAGTCATCCATGAGGGCTGGAATCAACTTCTTCCAAACTCCTGTTAATGTTGATGTTTCAACCTCCTCCCATCAATCACAAATGTCCTCAATGGCATTTAAGGATAACTATTAAGGACATTTGTGATTCACGGGAGGAGGTTGAAATATCATTAAAGGATTAATGGTGAATCCTTTCCAAAAGGTTTTTCAATTCAGTTTATCCAGATTCATCAAAGAAATCACTATGACACTGTACCTTTACAAAATGCATTTATTATTTAATAATAACACTTGAAAGTCAAAACCACTCCTAGGTTCACAGGCTAAAGTATAGATATTGTATTAGCAGCCATGAAGATAACATTAATTTCCAAGTACATCAACATCTAAGCTTCTAGGTAGCTAGGTGAATTGTCAATAAGCAGCAACCTTTTTCCTTTTTTCTCTTCTTTCCTTCTTTTTCTATTTTTATTTTTGTTAGTTTCACTCTTGTCGCCCAGGCTGGAGTGCAGTGGCGCGATCTCAGCTCACTGCAAGCTCCGCCTCCCGGGTTCATGCCATTCTCCTGCCTCAGCCTCCCGAGTAGCTGG